AAATTGTGATCACCTATTGGATGATTTCTGCAGATCTTCACGTGAGCGTGAATTTTTGTTGGCGATCCTGGGGTAGTTAAATCAAAGCTAAGAAACACGTTATAGTTAGTTAGGCTTAGGATTAATTCTCTGATCCTGAAATTCGATTGGCCAAAATTACAGGGGATGAACAATTTTTTGTGGGAGAGCTAAAAGCGTTCGAAAATGGTTAGTCGCTTCAATTTTTTTCATAATGCTTAGCTAATCCTAAGCGCAGTGAGATTCTGACGTAAAGAAAAAATATTTCAAATGTCACATATAAAAATCTTTATAACATCGAGTTTAATAAATTCTTTCTCGTCCACTTTTTATAAATATTTTTTCACTTCTAGGTTCACTTCACATTAAATCAGCTTATTTCTGAGTGAGAAACGCATGACTTCATTAATTTTATTGTGAACCATTCTCATTAACAACTTGATATAAATAAGGAAATTTTGTATTTAGAACCAAAAATTTTTTATCCCAAAAATTTTTTGTTCACAAACAGATTTAAACGATCTTTCTTACAAAATGTCATTCCGCAAGGATAGTTTCTCTTATCAAAACGACAACATAAATGTACTCCATATTGGGCGCAATGTCGAAGCAAGGATCGAAAGAATTGATGAAGATATTGCAAGTATCTATTTTGTGGATAATCAAGGTGTACAAGTGCCCCCTCCACCAAACTCCGTTCTCAGGAATACAACAACTAATCGTAATGTTCTGTATCGTCGTAATGAATTTCTTATTTCGTGGATTTGCAACTACTCTTTTCTCCAAAATGGTTCGGAAATTTTTAGATTGGAGAGACAAAAACAACAAGCGATAAGTGGAAATTCGGATCTTAGGATGAGTTTAATCGAGCAGTAGAACAAGTTATATGGTCTCAGAATTTTATATGTTTTGTTTTATGATTTCTAAATTTACAATTTGGTTATGATTCATTTGATAGATGTTTAGCTAGGCTCTCTAAAGTTTCAAATATAATCAAGAGATCGGTATATTTTGTCTCTTATTAACAAGAAAAAATAAAAATTTCACTGTTGCTAGCTAAATTTACATGTTTTATAATTTTAGTCTCTTTTTTGAGGCCTGAAATGTATTATCATTATCTTTTTTGAGACTTTCTGATTTAGCTTCGGGTGCAAGTGTACAGTACCGTATCGTCGCGAAATAACACCCCGGGGCGTTATTTCGAGACAAAAAAATTTAAAACGAGTTAATAATTAATTTTGTCGAAGACTTTTTTATACTTTAATATTTATTTAATATTAAAAAAAAAATCTTCGGCAAGATTAATAACTCGGCTTAAAATTTTTTTGTCTCGAAATAACGCCCTGGGGCGTTATTTCGCGACGATACGGCAAAGAAATATGTTGATCGAATATCCATGTTTCGCAAGCGAATTTTTTCATCCAAGAATTTTTTTATTAGTCATTAGTGTTCTAGAATACAGGAATAGGTTCAACATTTTTCTTGTATTTTTTTGTTTTTGGTTTTTTTTTTGATTTTTTTATTTGTAGTATATTAGGATTATTTATTCAATAAAATTTTGGTTTGTCTGCGACAAGATTTTTCTGGTATTAATTTCGCTATAGATATAGTTATTTTTATAAATATCAGTTTTGTTCTCATAACATAAAATTTGAAAAATGACCCGCCAACTCGGCTTTTTATTTTATTATCAAAAAATTTTATATATAAAAAGAATATAAAAAATTTTATAAACTTCTAAAAAAACTTCACCCGGATAGTAAATACAGTATAGTCAAAAATTTTTTTAAGAATTTTGTGAAATTTGACCCGGCCGGGTTATGAAAACCAATTTATTAAGTTTGTATGGCCTTATTTTGTCTATATTATTTACAGTGCTTTTCAAATTACTGTGATCATTGTTACGCAACAAAGTTTCAAAATTAAACTTTTGCTTGTATAACATATATAATTTGTAGTATAACCATTATACTTTTTATATACTTTTGCGTGTAACAATTTAATAGTTTATGCGAAGTATAAAGCATACCTTAATTAGCCTTTAAATAATCTATAGCTTATTTTAGAGTCTATTCATAAATAATCCTAGAACTTTATGTATTTTAGTTCTGGAGTCTGGTAATTAGTTTTTTGAGAGAGTTCTAGGATTTTAGGGATTTTGTAGATTTGTATTTTGGGCTTTAGTGTGTTGGGAACGTACTAGGTTGGTTAGTTTGGGAAGGATATTTGTTATTGTTAGTGTCTGGGACACAATAAAGGATATTGGTTTAGTACTTTTGATACTTGGAGAGAGACAATAAATATTTGCTTTTGTCTCTTTAATGTTGACGTCCCTGAGTTAAATTGATAACGATATAACAAAGTCTCTCTATTACAGCGAATTTATGAAATCAGAGCATTTTGACTCACTACGTGGTGCGTCATTTACTATTTGATGTTTGACATTTCTTATATAAGTGCATCAAAATGCTTTAATTTCATAAATTTGCCGCAATGCCCACTGGACGTCACATCAGCAAAATTCATGCATCACACATCACGGGATATCTGGGAATCAGGATTTTACGTAGTAAAATGCAAGTCTGTGATTGGCTGAAAATTATACCAGCCAAATGTATTGTGTATATTATGTATAAAATTTTAATATTAAATATTTTTAAAAGTCTGATTGAAGATTTTTCAACAATAGCACAGTCAATTTCAATGTTTAAGACCATTTTAAAATCCTACAAACCTACAGAATTTGAAAATGGCTTTGAATATCGAAAATGACCAGCTATACCAGGTACAGAGTGATATGTAATATCACGAAGTATATGGTTACTATAGTGAGTTAAGAGGCATGCGTCCGCAAAATCTTATACTTGATTGGTCATTGTGCTAAATGTGGCAAAAACATGAATTTCTGCTCTTAAACTTCACGATAAGCATCACATAGCAATATACTGTATTTATAATGGCAATTGCAGATTATTAGATCATTTTATATATGTACATACATACCTAATACAAGTTATTAACTTGTATTTATTGTTTTACATATTTATCAGTTTGTATTGATAAAAATGTGGCTTAGAGTCCTAAGTTGGGTCCCTGACCTTTTACAGACAGCCATCTACCCAACAACTATCTCCCCTAAAATTTTTTACCTAACAACACTTTCCCGACATAAATTTTTTACCTGACAACACTTCTCTGACATAAATTTTTTTACTCGACTACACTTCCCTGACATAAATTTTTTCCTTGACAACACTTCCCCGACATAAATTTTTTCCCAACAAAACTTCCCTGACACAACTTCCCCAACAATATGTTTTTCTGACATTAATTACTTCCCTGACAATAACTATTTCTTTGACATTAACAACTTCTCCAACATTAACTATTTCCTCAACATTAACTACTTCTCTGACATTAACTATTTCTCTGACATTAATTATTTCCCTGACATTAATTACTTCTTTAACATTAACTACTCCCTGACATTAACTACTTCTCTGACATTAACTACTTCCCCAACATTTCCACATTCATGACATTTTCACATTCTCCGACATTTCTACATCTTCAACATTTCCACATTCCTGATATTTTTACATCCCTGACATTTCACATCCCTGACATTTTTACATCCCATTAAATATTGACCATCTAATGCTTTATGGTTTAAGTTTCTACTAAACCATAAATGATTGAAGTTTAATATAGTCAACTCTGCTTATACTGAATCCTCCACAAAAATTTTTAAAAAAGTTTAGTTTAAAGTTCACTATGTCTATAAACTGACTTACAAATATTTAAATATTTTAAAGCTTTGTATTTTGCTCTTATAAAGCTTATCAAGTATTCAGTTAAACAGCTTTAGTTTAGAGAGATATAACTGTATATAACTAAGAATTGTTTGATATAAAAGTAAACCAAGGTTAGAATTAGAATATTAATGAACTGGTTTAATCATTATCAGAGATCCTACCTGGTCCAATCTGATCACTTTAGTTCACTTTTAATAGTTCAAAGTTTTAAAAATTAACTGGTCTTAAAACTAAAAGCATATTTTTTTCTGTTTTAAACTAGAATTAAAACTAACTGCGATTTAGATTGTTGGACATTGCATATTCGTGCGCATAATAAATGATTTATCACGATCAATGTATCCCGTGCTGAAATGATATTATGTATGGCATGGGTGAGCAGATCAGTATATTACAGACTAAAATTAAATACAATATTATACTGATCAACTATAATTCCTAATTCTAACTATGTATTGGATCAGTATTGTACAGATACTGAGCTGCAAACACCTTGCCGAAATTCATCCAAATCCTGCAAAAGCTAATTTTATTTTTGTCATCAAAGTCAGTGTTTCAGCTGCTTTCATATTTTCCAGTAACTGAATCGATAAGTTATCGAGTCAGATTCAATAAGTTAGGGATGTTAAGTCATTTGGCTAGAACTAGTTCGACTGAGTTCAAAACTCAGACCATTATAATTCAGATTAAACCAGCTGAACTAGTTCGTTTGTTATATGAAACACATGATATATTACATAGTTAGTTTTTCGTGTATGACAACGTATTATGGGGTTCACTGACAATCATTCACCAACAGCTCATATAAAAATATATACCTGCAACTAATCAAATGCTTAACCCTAACTCTATGTGATGAGCGTTCAGTGAATTGATTGTCAGTGAATTGATTAGAACTGAAAAAAAAATCAGGTATTGCAAAAAAAATTATCAGTAAACTAGTTCCTAACCTATCATTTAGTGTAGGAGGCACGGTAAAATTTTTGGGCATGCCCCTCGAGGCATGCCTCAAACCGAGGCATGCCTCACTTATCG